CTGTCTCTCTCTGCTTCCTTGTGCTTCTATCACTGTCTCTGCTTGCGTCCTCCCGGATTGTCTTCCTGTATCTCTGTCTGTACCGATGATTCTGTCTTTTTGCCTCCCTGTGTGTGTGCAGGGCCTGACACAGATGCTCACACAGAAGGCAGAGGTTTCTAACAAAGGGTTCTGAAATGCTGCAGGGAAAACCAGACCGTTTCTGATGCAGATGCTAATGCTTCCTCCACTCATCCATTGAATGTTTAACCATTCAGTGTGGTTTATTCTGTCTTGGGAAATTAATTTCAGCGCTGTTTCCAGCACTCTGCCAGCCTCACAGATGAGGCTAGGAGACGACACTATAGATGTGTAATTCTGAACTGATTGATTGTTTCTCTCGTTCGAGGAATCACTCCGGAATTGTGCGGGTTAACCCCTGTCCTGATGGAAACCACAAAGACAAAGGGAGGTGAAGAAGAACTGAATCTGAAATCATGAAAATTGGCCAAGAGAGGGAAAAAAGCCAAGTCCATCCGCCAGCCTTGGCCTCTCTCCCCTCTGAGGTCACCCATAATTCACTGCCTGGCTAATACAAGCCAGGAGGAGAAAAAAACACCTTCCTTTTAACGACTCACGCGGATAATATTCAGCACTTAACTGCAGGCTACCGTTCTGAGGGAACAGAGAGGAGGTGAGAGGGACGAAGGACAGCGAGCAGTGCAGCCCTCAGCTTGCCGGACTCACTGGCAGGCCGCATGGCCCGCAGACAGACCTGCGGGTACTGTGCCCATAATCAGCGTGGGGACATCCATATCCCCCTCGTCTCTCCGGCTCCCGTACCGTTTCTCTGAGGGCTGTGTTCACATGCTAGTCACGATCGTGAGAGAGCGGAATAAATTCAAGCGTGCACACACTGACCCACTTATGCACAAACATGTGCTCATTTACTGATACATAGACAGGTACACGGTGCAGAGAGGGAGTAATAGAGAGAGGACAGTGGGGCAGTAGAGGAGAGTGGGGGCAGCAGAGGACAGTGGGGCAGTAGAAGACAGTGGGGGCAGTAGTGGAGAGTGGGGGCAGCAGAGGACAGTGGGGCAGAGGACAGTGGGGCAGAGGACAGTGGGGGCAGTAGTGGAGAGTGGGGGCAGTAGAAGACAGTGGGGGCAGTAGAGAAGAGTGGGGCAGCAGAGGAGAGTGGGGGCAGCAGAGGACAGTGGGGCAGTAGTGGAGAGTGGGGGCAGCAGTAATTGACAAGGGGCACATTCTACTTTTAGTCAACACAACAAACTGTCAGTTTACCTTTGGCAACACTATTCTGTGTGTCCTCCTGTGGCCCGGCCAGGGAAGAATACTGTGCTCCTTCTATGGAAACAGCAGGAAAACCTGCCAGCAGCATCGACACCCTGTAGCTGGGGGCGGTGCAGTGGCTCTGTTGCAAGTGGTGCAGGTGAACCAGTAGGCGGTGGAGTTACTGGCACACAGCGGCTGCTGCACTTTAGCTGGGTCTAAAGTGGGTTCCCTCTCAAATTTAAGGCTTTGCTTCATGCATTTTAGATTATTATTATTATTATTATTATTATTATTATTATTATTAGCAAACTGTCAAGGGTTTATCTCTTTCTGCAGTTTGAGCTGAGCAGGCTATGTCACGAATGGTGTGAGGAACTCTATGCAGGTCGGGTAGTGAACGAATCCAACAGGGCAAGACGCAGTCGGAGTCGGGAAGGCAGGGAGGGTGGTTTCCAGGAGGCTGGAGAGAGGGATCGCAAAATGGTTTCAAGGGTGAAGAGCTCAGGAAAACTGTAGACTGTTTAACACCAAGCGGTGAAGTGAGGGTGGAGGAGGTTTAAACAGAAGGTGTTGTGAGAAGCGAGAGACGAGATAGGATGATTAGATTGTGCGTTGGCGTTTTCGGAAATTGCATCGGGCTGGTGTCTGATCGGATGAGGTCGTGGGAACGCGCCGGCTTTTGTCAGAATTAGGTGACTGATGATGTGAGAGTGTGACAGGCTGGGTGAGCCAGAGGAAAGGAGCTCGACGGAACTGGTTCTGAGAGCACAGTAAACGCGCAGGAAGGGACAGAGGCCCTGGCAGCAGTGTGCCTCTAGTGGCCATGGTGGGAACAACACGAGCTGCACAGGTGGCACACAGAGAGCGAACCTCCTGAAGAGATCCTGCAGCACAGTACAGCAGGTCAGAAACACTGTAGTAACGCACTCAGTCTCAGCGACTGTAGTTAAGAAAGTGAAAAAACCTTGAAGTACTGAAAACATCCGATGACCTGCGCGTGTGAGAGAGGGGTGAGAAAGGGGAAAGAGATGGAGAGGAGAGGGGAAGGAAGAGTTAATTCTGTGTTTTTAAAAGCCAAACAGGAGAGCTGTTATACCCCCAGGAGTGTGTCCTGCTCGCCTGAGTGATCTGAGTACACGCTGTGTTCTTCTGGCTGATTCATAATTCAGCTGGATCGCCCCCAATCTGGAAAGGACACCCCTCGTTCGAAATCGAAATGGGGAAGAAAGAGGGAGGGGGCGAGGCAGTACAGACACTGAGAGGAGGAGAGAGGAAGAGGGAGGAATACAGGGAGGGTGAGAACGGAAAAGAGAAAAGAGAAAAGAGGGAGGGGATCGCTGCCCTACTCATCCTCTCCATCTCTCTGTCCTCTGTCTTCCTTAACTCCCCTCTTCCTTTCTCCCTCCCCTCTCTCATTCCTTCTCTCCATCAGTTCCTGTCTCTCTGTCCCTCACCTCTCTCTCCGCCTCGCTCTCTCTCCGCTGAACCCATTAGGTAGGTCTCCCGGTGATAATGGTGAATTTTGCAGAAACCGCTGAAGCGAGAGCTGGTGCTGCTCCCACCGCCGCCAGTCACACGCGAGAATCACACAGCCGCCGGACAGCACACGTCTCCACCCGCCTGGGGATTAGCTGTGCCGGCAACCTTATTTTTAACTTTAAAAAACACAAACATCCTGTACACGCACAGAGAGACCCCCTCCCGAGATTCAAATACTTAATTCGGCCACTTTTTTACAGCAGCTCCCGATCGTGGGAGCTGCAGATTGTCAGCATCAGAAAACATGAAGATCGCACGATATCTGCCAGATATTGAATATCTGTCAGATATGTTTATGTAAAGGCGGACACATGTATCGGACATTTTTGAAGATTTCGTGGAGCCCAAGGCGGGCAATTATTTTGCGAAGGGCGGAGGACAAAGACACGTTTCGTGTAATTATAGGCGGAAACGCCCTGCGCTGGGCAAGCCGGTTATAGAACAAGAGCCCGCTTACACCACCTGCGATCACACCTCGGTAAACCTCTCGACCGCACGGCGCTCCGCCCCGGATCCGTGACTCGTATGAATTCAGTTCACAGTCCGATGGAAGATCGCGCGCGGGTCGTCGCCGGTCCGGGCTCGAGCGCTCCGGGCGCAGGTTGGCGCCTCTTTTCTTGTCTCGGCCAATCAGAGGCGGCCGCCGGTGACCGGCCAGCGCGTGGCGAGGGGCGAGCGAGGGGACAGGCGGGCGCGCGTGAGCAAGACTCTGCACGAGCCTGTCGTTAGGTGAGGTGAATTTGCGCTGCAGAATGTTTTAGGTTTGCTTTTCTTACGAGTCTTAATTATGGTCTCTTATTTAATATTAATATCGTCACTACGCAGGTTTTCTGGACACTCCACTCAGAGCTCTTCACAGGTAATGGGGATCCCCTCCACACCCACCCGGATGCCGCGCCAGTCCGCTCCCCACACACCAGCTCTCAGTGGGGAGGAGAGTGGAAACACCCTGGGATTTTAATTGTTCTTTCTCAAGGAAAATACAGTACTAATAAATCCAACACGCAAACCGTCCAGAGGGTGGCGCGACACTGGGTACGAATTCTGCCCCAGGTTGTCGGTTAGAGCACCTAAATCTGAGAATCTGGAGATTCGGCCTTGTCTTTTCTCCTATATTAATTCTTGATCATTTGTATAAATTAGGAATAATTATTATCGTATCCAGCCTCTGCGTCCTGAGGCGGTGGGAGCGCGCTCCCCTCTCCCGCCTCGCGCCTCTTTCTGCTCCGTGTGCCAGTACTTCAATTGGGGGACGTTAAATATGTATATCTATCATTTATTAAAAAAGACCTCACTTCCGAAGTATTTTCGAAGCCCTGTATTTTGCGACGTCTCTTTCTTTTCACGAAGTTAATAATTTATGGATATTTATTCGGGCCAATTAAAGAAATGCAGATTCCGAGTGGAGAAGCTGTTGAGTCTTTTTTCCCCGGGGGATTTGCGCTTGAACTTTAAATTCACTTTTTTTTCTTGGCAAAAAAAAAAGGAAAAACGGCTCAACTCCCCCGTCCCCCCTCTCTCTGTGTCTTTGAAGAACAAGATTGTCTATATTTAATTTTGTTAGAGCAGAAACCACAGGATTGAAGATTACTTCAAAGACTCTCTGGTCGTAAAGTCTGCCTCGGTTTGCGTTTCAAGCTTATTAACCTTGAGGTTTATGTATTAATCTTGCTTTCGTTGTCACCTTCATCGTCAGTTGAGTTCTGCCGAAACGCCAATACAATTAACACGCGCTACAGGCGAGATCAAGGCGTGAACCAATCGCACCGCGTAGGGACGCACGCACGCGGCCGCTCAGGCAGGGTGACTGAACCGGGGGGCCGGAACAGGGCTCGAGCGCGGGCCACTGAGCCGCGCTCCCGAGCCGCGAGCGTGCCCGCGCGCGCGCGCTCACGAGGCGGGGTATAAAGCGGCGGCGGCGGCGCTCCGGAGCTCAGTCGCGCAGCAGCCGCTGCCAGAGAGACGGGCAGACGGGCAGACGGGCACGGCGCTGGGAGGGGGACCTGTGGACGAGTTCAGGCAAAGGAGACACGCAGCTGCAAGACTCCGAGAGGGGGACGCTGCTTCCTTCACCTGGTGCGCCCCTCTCCGCCCGCGGTTCCGGATTCCCGCCCGGCCATGGACCCTGAGCCCTGAGACATGCAGAGGAGCCGAGCTGCGCCCAGCAACAGCACCGTGCTCCCCGGGCCGGGCCTGTGCGGGCCGGCGCTGGAGGAGACCCTGGGCCTGGCCAACCGCAGCGGGCCGGCCGCGGGCAACCAGACGCTGAGGTGCTGGCTGCACCTGCTGTCGCGCGGGACGGAGTGGGAGCTGCCCAGCGAGGGGGCGAGCGCGGGCCTGCGGGTGGCCATGGCGCTGGTGTACGCGCTGGTGTGCGCGCTGGGGCTGGCGGGCAACCTGCTGGCGCTGTGCCTGCTGCGCTCCCGGCACCGGCGCAAGCGCTCCTCGCTCACCTGCTTCGTCATGGGCCTGGCGCTCACCGACCTGCAGTTCGTGCTCACGCTGCCCTTCTGGGCCGTGGACACCGCGCTGGACTTCCGCTGGCCCTTCGGCAAGGTCATGTGCAAGCTCGTCAGCTCCGTGACCACCATGAACATGTACGCCAGCGTCTTCTTCCTCACCGCCATGAGCGTGGCCCGCTACTGCTCGGTGGCGTCCGCCGTGAGGATGCGCGGCCGGCCGGCGGGCCCGGCCACCGCCCGCTGGGCCAGCCTGGGCATCTGGGCGGCCTCGCTGGCCGCCACGCTGCCCCACGCCATCTACTCGACCACGGTGCAGGTGTCGGACGAGGAGCTGTGCCTGGTGCGCTTCCCGGACTCCGGCTGGGACCCGCAGCTCCTGCTGGGGCTGTACCAGACGCAGAAGGTGCTGCTGGGCTTCGTCATCCCGCTGGCGGTCATCTCCGTGTGCTACCTGCTGCTGCTGCGCTTCGTGCTGGTCCCCCGCGCGGGCGGGCCGGGGGGCCCGGAGGAGGGGGCCGGCCCGCACCTGCGGCGCCGCACCAAGGTGACCAAGTCGGTGGCCATCGTGGTGCTGGCCTTCTTCGTGTGCTGGCTGCCCAACCAGGCGCTGACGCTGTGGGGCGCGCTGATCAAGTTCGACCTGCTGCCCTTCAGCAAGGCCTTCTACAACGCGCAGGCCTACGCCTTCCCGCTCAGCGTGTGCCTGGCGCACGCCAACAGCTGCCTCAACCCCGTGCTGTACTGCCTGGTGCGCCGCGAGTTCCGCGCCGGCCTCGTGCGCCTGCTGCAGCGGGCCCCGCCCCCCCCCGGCCTGGCGCCACGTCGGAAGAAGGTGGCTGAGGCGCCGCCCCCCGCGCCGGCCCGGGAGAAGGAGAGCCCCTGACCCCTGACCCCTGACCCGCGGACCGACAAGCTGTTGGGCCCCCGGACCGATGTCTCTGTACCGACGGCGAACGGGAACAGACTCACTCCGCGGGCTCTTCCTCATCTTCCTCCTTCTCACCCTCCACTGCTCTTCATCTTCCTCACCTGCTCTTCCTCCTCCTCTGCCCAGCCTGCACGCTGACGGGAGGTCCTGCCAGAGAACCGGCTGCGTTTTCCTTCCTCTCCTCGTCTCGTGTGGAGAAACGCGCGTGCCAGGGGACAGCCTGTCCACCCGTGGATTCCAGCGCGCGGCCGCGAGGAGTGAGAGGTGGGCTGTCCGGGAGACGTGGTGTTTAAACAGCATAAAAAAAAACAATGTTTCTCTTCTAAAAACCCGATTTTCCCTCCTGGTGACTCTCGGACCCAGAGAGCGAGATGGACGGTTCACCCAGCTGACGGACCGGCAGGGTCCCGCGACCCCAACACTTCAGGTCCCGCCTGGAGGGGGGGGTCAGCACTGCTCCCTCGTGCTGCTCTAACCCGCAGAGAGACGCGGCTCGTGCTGTCTGGTGCTTAAAACATCAAAGGCTGACTGACGCGCGCAGTTACGCACCAGCAGTGCAGAGCGCCGCGGGCCCCCGGGGGCGCCGGGGGGGAGACGGGTGCGGGGAGTCGGCTCTGCCTGGAAAACACAGTGGAGCTGCCGCGCCGCGCCAGGACGGCCACAGACACCCGTGGCACTGTCGCGTCACTGTGGAGCTTCATGCGCTCCTGCGTGTTCGTGCGACTGTCGTGTCGGAAACACTCCGCAGCCCGCGCGAGGGGAGAGCTCTCCACGGTTCGTGACATCACGCGCTTCGGGTCTGTAAATAAAACGGTCGTGAAACGTGAAGGAGCAAATCGCTACCCACAGTATTAAATGTATGAACTTTTATGGAAGTTCTGCAAAATCGCGAGTGTAAATACTGCTGTGACGTTGAAATATAAGCTTTTTGTTTTCTCTCGGTAGAGGGGGGTACACAGACACGCTCCAATCACCGGCCGCCTGTGTCAGTCTTGAGGTTCAATCACAGGTCTCGGCACCGCTTTGTGAGCGACCGCTGCTGTGAGGGAGGACTCCTGTCTGGCTTTAGCGCGGGGCTGCCCGTGTTCAGGGCGCGCGTGGGTCCGAGCGGGCAGCATCGTGCGCTCGAGACACCGTCCCCTCCCGCAGGGGTTGACCCCGTTCGCGCGCCACGGCCGCGCGGCAGCTCCCCCCCCCGAGGTGATGAAGAAGAAATCGTCGTGAAGACAAAGACGCCGGGAACCGTTTTCGATGTTGCAGGCAGTCAGGCGGTAGTTACAGGAGTCGCAGTAGGAAAGGGAGTGTGTGGGAAAACAAGGCTGTTGGCGGACATTCAAGAGCAGTGTGAACAGCACCTTAAGGAAGTTTATTCTAAACCTCGGACTCTCTCCAGCTGGGCCTCAGGCACAGGCTCACTGGTTCTAGTGCTCTCTCTAAAGCGTAGGTTTCAATTTGGTGGGGCTGCACACTGGTGGTGGTGGAGGGGATCCCCATTACCTGTAAAGGACTTTGAGTGGAGTGTCCAGAAAAGCGCTATATAAGTGTGAGCAATTATTATTATTATTTGCTTTCTGCTCTTAACCGCTGGGAGAGGACTGGGAGTTTGAATCACTGACCGAAGTTCAGAACTGCACTGGCTCAGGCACATTACTGGAAACGTATCCACTCTGACCACAGCAGAGGAACTGTGGGTCTGTGCAACTGCACCCCCGCCTGCTCCCACAGACGGAGGGCCTGCGGAGAGCTGACGAGCCAGAGCCACAGGTCCTGGAGCCGAGGAGCTGTCGGCAGGGGCAGGGCTTGGACATGCTGCTCACTCAGTAATGGAACCATTAATAGATCTAAAACATCTATTTTTTAGTGCAATTTACACTCTTGAATTGTCTTCAGTCCGTAAACAGGTCATACTTTGCCTTTTAACTCTTGTGTATCTTAATTACGATAAAATCTCTAACCCTTGAGCAGAAAAAACTTTCAAACGAAGAGAGCTGCTCTCTCACCAGTTTCCTACAGGGTGGTCATGCCCCCCCCCCCAGAGCCAATCACAGGGGTTTATAACCACGTTTGTTAATTGAGTTTAATCAGCCTTTAATCGGGAAGCAGCAAAGGGGAAGAGCAAGTTAATTAGTGATAACAGAAAATGTACTAATCCACGATGCAATCAAACGATTCATTATTCATTAACAATCTAATCACATGCACAAGTGAAACTCAACACGCCAAGAAATCACAAGAGCAGCTTAAGTAACATCGTCACATTGGCACATAATCACAAAGATCTGTTTTTCTGAACACTGTAATGTAGAATAATGTTAATCATGTTGTCTTGCAGTCTTGTGTTTACATTTTAGCCCCACACTGTTGCACAATGATGTTGTTTTATTTTAAATGACCTGACATGAGGGCAGTGGTGGGCTCGCACTCTGCAAACCTCAAGCTCTTGGCCACAAGCGCTGCCAGGGGGTCATGGGCATGTGGCCACAGCTGTCTAGGGGGCTCGGCTCCCTGACTGGTGGAACTGGAGGGCTGGGAGTCTGCAGTCAGGATCCGGACTGCAGGTTCGGAACCAGTGGAGGGGTGGGAGTCTGCAGTCAGGATCCGGACCGCAGGTTCGGAACCAGTGGAGGGGTGGGAGTCTGCAGTCAGGATCCGGACCGCAGGTTCGGAACCAGTGGAGGGGTGGGAGTCTGCAGTCAGGATCCGGACCGCTGGGTCAGCGGAGGGTCAGGATCCGGATTGCCCAGCTCTGGCATCAGCGGCCTCTGGACAATCGTTTTTAAGAGAATCCTCAAACTTGGCTCCACGTTCAAAGACCAATGCTGTGATCAGTTGCCCTTGAGATGCCCAGTACAGCCACTTCACTCGAGCTCTGATATTCCTCTCCGTCCCTCTCTTGTTCTCCGCGGGGATTCAGTGACGGAGACGATGTGCACATCAACGCGGCGGGCCCCCGGGAGAGGCCCCCCGCGCTCGCCGTTTTCTTCCACTTCCGCGATTTTATACTCATGAAGCGCGAGATCGCCAGGCTGTGGAGCCTGATAGAGAAGATCGAGAGATAGATAAGATTTTATTGTCCCCTGAGGAAATTTTTAATAGACACCCAGCACTCCTGTACATTTAAATAGAATGCAAACAAAGAAAAATAAGACAAAACATTGCACATTATTCTATTACAAAAAAGAAGAAGAGCATTGCACATCACTCTATTGCACATGTACAGTTTAACACATAACAACATGTAACATTCATAACACATCACAAAACATATCACACTCAAGTGGGTGGTAAGAGTCAAAATTGTGTTTCTCCTTGACGAGTATCTGTCTTCTGCAGTGGTGGCAGGAACAGCGGAGATTACTGGGTGGAGCCTGGAAGGTTGCCGGTTCAATTCCTGCAGCTGACAGAGGAATCCTACTACATTGGGCCCCTGAGTAAGGCCCCTAACCCCAGCTGCTCCAGGAGTGCTGTATAAATGGCTGACCCTGTGATCTGACCCCAAGCTTCTCTCCCTGTCTGTGTGTCTGTCTCTCATGGAGAGCAAGCTGGGGTCTGTGAAAAGAAATTGTATAGGGCCAATTAAGTGATGTTATGTTATGTTACTGAGGGCACCACACACAGGCTCTGAACATGCATGCATCCGCACAGGACAGAGAGAGGGGGAGGCAGAGGGGAAGAGCTTAATGAATCACTAGAGCTCATTAAATGAGAAGTGGGGGATGAAACTGGGAATGAAGAGCTATGCTCGCACTTCACCTGCCGTCTCACTCTTGCTACTGAATCTCTGGTCAACGTGAATCTATTTTCAAACAATTAAAACATATCTTGTATTTTTTTATTGTCTTTGTCTTTTTTCTGACTGGATGCACTGAAACACCAAATAATTAAGAACTGGACATGATAAGTGAGAGTTTTCCAAATTTACATCCACACTTGATAACTTAATTGAGCGGCAAATGTGTTCTTGGTACCTGCAGGGCCCGTCCTTGGACAATGCTGCTTGCATGGGTTGCCTGCGCGCAGGGGCAGGTGTTTAATTCTGCTGTTCAGGCCCCCTCCCCTTCGCCATTTCTAAACTGCCGGATATTTAGTGCTTAACGTGGCTAATTAACAGAATTAGATCGGTGACACAAACTGGTGCTCGTGCATTACGAGAGGTGTGCACGGCTCTAATTTCCCAAGGCCAACACCTGCTGCCCTGGGCCCGGTCCAGGTCCCGGTTCTGGTTCAAGTCGTTTTTTTGGCCCAATAGAGACAAGAGCTGGGGTGGAGGGGAAGCAGGGTGGGGTGGGAGTGTCTTAACGAGGAGTGTTTACTCGCAGGGGTCTGCAGGCTTCCACTCCAACATCAATCAGCTCGTTCAGGGCTCTCCTAGATCTGCAAACACGAGCTCGTCCCAGACTCCCTG